GGGCATTCTTCGCCAGCCGCCCTGTTGTACTCGCTGGTGAACGCCGCGTGCACGGCGCCCCCGGGTTTGGCCGACTCTTCGACGGCTGCGTACACGGTCCCGCCTGGGAGGGTTGCGGTGCTGAACTGCTCTGTAATCCTTTCCACGACGGACTTGTAGATTGCGCCCCCCGGCTGCGTCTCGGCCCTGATTGTTTCCACAAACAGTGTCTTGACCTGTTCATCGGAAGCCATACCTTGGAAAGGTGGGAGGCCGAGGCGTGCGTGGGCGAGCTGGCCGGCGCGGTTGGTCTCGGGGCTCGGGCCGAATGGCGCGGGGCGCGCGCGTCCTCCCAGATCCGACGCCTGTCCTCCCTTCTCCCTGCCCCCCCTCCTCCGTGCTTCTCCAGCCCCTTACTTTCCCGCCCACTGGCATCGTCTGAAAAGGCCCCCACCGAATTATGCCAAGGCGAGGGCGCGGCAAGACGGGGAGGGGGCAGGAGAGGGAAGGCAGGGGAGTGGCGAGCCAGCGCGCCGGGGGGGGAGGCGGGCGCGCGCTCGCGCGCGTTTGCGCGCGCGTGTGTGAATGTTTCGAACCTGCGCTCAGCGACTGCGAAGTCAATGCAATCATCGGTTTCTCCTGGGTGGTTTCCAACTGGCCAGAACCGAATAGCGAAGGTCCGCGCGGGGCCCGCGCCGCACCTGACCCTCTGGAGAGAGCCGCCGGAAGATGTCCGAGCGGGGATCCCAGGAGCGGACCCGGTGCCAGGAAGACAGCGCGCCCGCGCGGAACCACGGAGCTCCTGCGCCCTCTGGCAGAAGCAATAAATCTTAAGGGACGGGCGAGCTTTCCGGGCAGACTTGAAAAAATCCAGGCACGCCTGGGCTAGAGCCCGCGGTGGGTGAGCCCAGACAACGTGACCCTCCAAGTTGCATTCGAAAGCCGTCAATTCCGGGCATCGCCACTCTGCGGCTAGAGCGGACAGCCCGCGCCTGTCGGCAAAGAGGTCCAGCGTGCAAGCGACGCTGCATCTACTCTGCACTTCCTTATACAGATCCTTACGCAGGACAGCATGTTTGAAAGGATATTCGGCCCAGGCGGCTGCAAAACCAGAGCCCCGAGAGCCCACGTCAGCCACAACGTTTGAGCGGCCCGGGAGGTGTGAAGCGAGCGCCCAGCACCCCGACGCGCGTTCGGCGCCCTCGAAGCATTGTAGTTAAGTGTTCTAAGTGTGGAAGGCGGCCGTATCTAATGTTCACGTAATGAATGGCACAAGCGCTGTCCATTCTGAAGAAGATTCTCCAGCCACGGAGACGGGCCCCTTCCCGACGCAAACATTCGGCTGCCACCCACAGTTCTTTGTAATTGATGGCGTCGGCCGCTGAGAATTGCTCCTGCGTTGCAAAATCGCCGGGCCACGTGCCGGACACTACCACCCCCAAGTTGCAGAGGTGGTAGCTCCACCCGTGGTCGCGTGAAGCGTCTGTTTCGATCACGTGCACCTTGCCGTCTGCTGCGAGAGCGCGCCAGTTCGCAAACTCGCGGGTTTTGTGTCCCCATGACGACAAAACGCCCCCCTCGCAGAAAAGGCGCCAGCACGGAGGTGCGGCGAAAGTGCGCGTCAACCACGCCGGAGCTTGCCGCGCGTTGTCGGACAGGCGCAATGGCGGGTCCGCGCGGGAGGACTTATGCCACGCAGCGTACACCCCGGCGGAATTCAGGTCGGTCCAGATCGGATGTAGCCTGCGCCGGGCTTGCGGCAATAACTCCGCAAGATGGCTGGCGATCCCGGCGGCCGAGGCGAATTGGCGACTACGCAGGGAACGGCCCGTGTCTGCCGCGAGCACCTCTTGGCAGACGCGCGCCAGTGTGTCGCACTTCTTTTGCGTGACTGTGACTTCGGTTATTAACCGCGTCGAAAGTCCAGCCGATCCACGTCTGGAAGGCCGCTGGCACTTTCACGCCCGAAGGCTTTGTGCTGACGGGTATGCCGCAAGATAAAAAGAAATCAACTGCGGCGCGCAGGTCGCACCACGCCTCGGACCTCGACGTGGCTGCGCCGAAAAAGTCGTCGACGAAGTCTAAAAGGTCGACCCCCCTGTACTGTTTGAGTAGTCGCAAGACCTCTTTGACAGAGGCATCGTTGATGCCAGGGGCACTTTTGAGGCCGAACGGGAAAAAGTTGTACTTCCCGAGTTGCCGCGTGCCAGGGCGGTTAAAGCCGAGGGGAAGGGTGTCGACCTCGGCCACATTCCAGTTAAAAAAACAGTCTTGGAAATCCAATACGAACATCCACGACGAAAACGCGAGGCGTTGTATCGCGCCCTCCAAGGTGCCGTACCGGACCCCGATATCAGGGATGTGTTCGCTGACCCGCCCCATGCGCAAATCAACGATGACGCGCGCCGTAAACCGTTGTTCGTCCGGGAGATCGTCCGCAGCGCCCTCCCGCGGTTTCAGGAGAAGCGCGCAGGGGTTCACGTTCAAACCCGCCGGCCTAGGTTGGCCAGGCGGGTACAAAAAAACACCTTGCCAAGTTATGCAAGGCGGTCGAACTCCTGCTCGGCCCACGGCTGGTGCTCCAGATACGACAGATGGTTCCTCGCTTGCTTGGGTTGAACCCCTGGTGCGTCGAGCTGCACACCGTCTACCCACTGAGTGAGGAACTCTGGAGCCGCCCCGCACTCTGCCAGGAAGTCGAATCGAAGTGTCAGACCGGGGGCGCGCTGCCACCAGCGCGGCGCATCATTTGTATCACGGATACTGTGGAGCAAGGGTTCCACGTTGAATTGCGTGCTTGAGCCACTAGCTGGGAGGTGCATGATGCTGTAAGCCGAATGGCTGCGGAGGAAAAAGGGGGGGGAAGGGAGGGGTTGGAGGGCTCCTCTGTTCCTGAAGGGATGGGTCGAAAGCCCGAAGGGGGCAAGAGCCGCCACCGCATATCTTCTGCGACCGTGCCTCTGAAGTTGCGCCAGCAGTCTGCGGGTGCACTCTCCGCCACCTACTTCGCAGTCCGTTGTGGGACTGATCCCGTCGTCCTCTCGTCCGAACGGCGTGTGAGCCTCCTCCTCCTCCTGCTCTTCCTCCATGGGGGGGTGGGGGGGTGAGGGGGGGGTGGTTGGTAGGGGAGGAGTCGGCGCTGCTGTGCCGGTGAGAAGAAGGCAGCCCAGGTTGGCGAGCCGCTGCGTCGTTCCGGAAGGTGGGCCCTTGAGTTTGGACCCCCCTCTGGGTGGCACCGTTGATGGCCCCCCTCTGCGTGCTGCGACCCTGGTGTAGGGGTGCGCGCCGCCCGAAATACTGTTGTGCCATCGGCTACGCGGGGACGGCGAACGCCCCGACCGCGGAGTTGCCACGGCGCCTGCGCCTGCGAGCCGTTCGAGCGGATCCAGCAGTCGACCGACGAAGATCAGCTGGGGTGTTCCATGCGCCCACCCCCGAAGCCCCTTTCCTGAAAGCAAGCGTCCTCAGAAAGTCGTCGTCAAGGAAGGGCTGGACCTGGGGGGGAGGGGAAGCATTGGCCTGCAAACGGCGATACACCGCCGAGAGATCGGCGAGAGGCCCCCGATGGCGAATCCGCTCGTGCCGGGACGAGGTGGGCCATCGGGCCCCTGTCAGCGATCAATGGGCGATTGGGTATCGATGCACCCCCCGCCTGAGCTGATGTCGGACCTCCCGGCAACGTTGCCCCTGAAGGGTGCACCCTCGCAGCCCCCCACGGGCAGAGGGAGAGGCTGCCACAGGTCGAGCCGGAGCCTGGGCCGCCTCGTGGCCACCCCTCGCGCGCTGGGTGCGTCTGGCGAGGTCTTGCCACGCTGCGGCCCGTGGCCGCCTCGTGGCCGCCTCTCGCGCGCTGGGTGCGTCTGGCGAGGATTCGCCACGCTGCCGCCCGTGGCCGCATTGTGCGCTGGGTAGGTCTGGCGAGGTTCCGCCCTGCAGCCGCACCACACAGGTCACATCGCATAGATTGCACCACATAGCTCGCACCACAAAGCTTACACGACATAGCTTATACCATTTAGCTCACACCACATAGCTCACACAACATGGCTAAGACCACATCCGCATAGCCGTCACCTCCTCAATATAATGATATATGCTTGGGGTCCACGCTGGCTGGCACACAGAACCAATACCAAGAAACCAAGGAACCAAGACCAAAGAAACGAAGGAACACCACTGCAAGGAAAGAAGACCAAGGAACACTGAGGAACGCCACTGCAAGTAAGACCAAGGAACTCCAAGGAATGCCACAGCAAAGCCTGTGAACCCCAAGCCACCCCGCCTGGCGCAAGGCGCGCAAAAACACCGGCTCTTCGCAGACAAGCAAGAATCCCTTAGGCAAAGCCTGATCGGGGAACGACACGGCGGCGAGCGAGGGGGAGAAGTGAGAAGGAGAAGGCCCTCTCAAAGGAGGAGGCGCTTCTCAGAAGCCCTCCAGCCTTCTGAGAAGTTTCCTGTCTTCGGGGAAGGCTGAGAAAAGTTCTCGAAGGCTTGGGGGCTTCGGAGCCTTCTGATAAGGCCTTTCCTCATTTCCCCCCGGGCTCGCCACCGATCATGCTGTTCCCCGACGCTGCTTGTTGCTCTTGTGTATGCGTGCCGCTCCCTGAGCAAGCGTTTTGCCAAAGGGGTTCTTGCTTGTCTGGGAAGAGCTGGTGTTCTTGCGCGCCATGCGCCGTCTGGGGTGGCTCGGGGCAGCTCTTGGTGGGCTTAGACTTCCACCGCCACCACCATAAGTAGGAGGGGGAGGGGGTCCTCCTCCTCCTCCTCCTCCTCCTCCTCCTCCTCCTCCTCCTCCTCCTCCTCCTCCTCCTCCTTCGCCCCCCTCCAACTTCTGGTGGTGGTGGAAAACAGGCCCATCGCCGGATCAGCTCTGGCGCAGGCACGAGCAGTCGGAACCGACTCAGCGAGGGAGCGAGGGGAGCGAGGGGAGCGAGGGGAGCGAGGGGAGCAAGGGGAGCGAGGGGAGCGAGGGGAGCGAGGGGAGCGGGGGGAGCGAGGAGGAGGAGGAGGAGGAGGAGGTCCTCCGCGAGGTGCAGCGTTCGCCCGCACTCTCTGTACCTCGGAGGGCAGGCGCCGGGCCGCCGGAGCCCTCTACGGCGGCCGCTCCCGCGCGGCCGATCCTGGATCTTTGAGCGCACTGCCGGCGCTGGTCGACCCCGTGGAGGAGGACGGCAACGAGGTGGACCCGGAGGTCCCGGCTTGGGCGTGGCTTAATGGGGGGGTCACAAATGGGGGGGTCAGAAAAGGTCCCCTTTCGTGCCCCTTTCGGGCCCCTCCAGAGCCTCAGGGGGCTCGTTTAGGTACCGTTTGGGTACCTTTTCGGGCCACCCTCGCCACCCCCCCATTTATGACCCCCCCATTACGAAACGCCCAACCGGCGCGGCACATCTTTCACACCGGGCGTCTTCGCCCGGCCTCGGGCCCTGGGACCACCGCAGGTCGGCGCGGCTGGAGAAGCAGGAGGACGAGGTCCTAGGGTTTTCTGGTCGTGGTTTGTCGCGATGTTGCAACTTCTCGCCACGTTGGACCTCAGGGGATGCCTCCATGACCTCAGGTCATGGAGGCATCCCACATGCGGCCGGAGCAGGTGGAGCCGGAGGGTCGCCCCGAATCGCACGTGCATCGGCGATGCGTCGGCGATCCGGAGCCCATGCTTGTCCACCGAATTTGGGATGGTCTGGAGTTCAGGATTTCCGGGCAGCACGTCCTGCAACACGGTGAACGCAGCCTGCGAAAAAGGGAGAAGAAAGGGCGACGGCGGCGAAGGCAAACGACGACAATGCTGTCCTGCATGTCACTCTGGGAGCGGTGTCCGATTAGTGACTCCCTATCTGCGTGAAAGGTCGCGGCTAGCGGTGCGGCCAGCCTCAACCTGGCAAGAAAACTAGAACATGCTCTGGGCACCTGCCAAGTGAAGCCTGTGCCACATTTGCGCTGGTGATGGATACTCCATCGGGCAGTCTGCAGCGCACTGGGTAGCGGATGTGCACCAGGGGCCGTCACGACGACAACGACGGCGGAGGATGCGACGACAAAGGACAAGAGAGAAGGGCTGGAGGGAGGAGTAAGACGGGAAGGCTCTCTAGTGACACGCGACCCCAGGGGCCAAGACCATCTCCCCGCGCGGCTTCCTCAAGAGCTTGATCCCGACTCCGAATTCCCCTGACCGCTTGGGGGCCCCCGACGCTCAGGAGGCCGACCAGCTGCACAAAGCGCCCCGCGCGCCTGCAAACCGCGCGCACACGGCCGATCGCGAGGAGCGGCGAGCGAGGGAGAGGCGCAGCTGCCCTGGCGTGGCGGCCCGAGCCCCTGCGCACCGCGGGCGCGCTGTGCTGCGCTGCCCACTTCGTGGACCCCCCCCCCTCGCGGCGTACGACGAGAGAGAGCACGATGCAACATAAGAATGTGTATGGATATGTCTTCGGCCGCTGGGGGCCCTCGCCAGGCCCCCGCACCGCGAAAAAGCAGGCCAGGGTGGAGTACATCCTCCTCCTACTCCTCCATGCCTTCTCTTCATACATGACTTCTCCCTGTCGCCCCCCGAAACAAGTTTTTAGGGCGGGTTGGGCGTTTCGCCTGACACTTCCTCACCACGTATTACCCGGATGCTTAAAAATTGCAACAGCTTGACAGATGGAGGGCGGGTGGTTATCAAAATGTGGCTCTGGCCTGAGCGCCGTGCACACTCGTGTTCGAATGTGCAAGAGCTTCACGGATTAAGGGCGGGTGGATTTCAAAATGTGGTTCTCGCCTGCGCGTCGCGCACATTTGTTTCAAATTCTGCAAAAGCTTCACGTCGTAAGGGCCTTAGCGCCGCGCACATTCTGCTCAACAATACAGGAATTCCACGGATCCCCACGATCGATGTACCAAGCATGGTGTTTTGGAAGGATTCACAATTATGAGGGTGCAACACTTACGGTGATTCGCGGTGTTGAAGTCCAGGAACGGCGGTCGGGCACGATTCGAAATCGTCAAGCCGCAGCATTCAAGCTTATCCGTGGCGTTGGAATACCGAATACAATGTTCTGGCACGCTTCAGGGTCGTCAAACGGTTGGTTGCCTTCCAACGAGGCAGGCCCCTGTGTGGAAATGAACCCTGTATGGGGCCTATGAAGAGGGAGCTGTGGGGGAGGGAGGGCTTATTCCAACACCGTTGGTGACTCTTGGGTTTACTCTCGTCCTCCTCCTCATCCTGCTCCTCCTCATCCTCTTCCTCCTCCTCCTTTTCTTCGTCCTCCGCCTCCTCCTCCTCCTCCTCCTCCTCCTCATCATCATCATCATCATCATCATCATCAGCATCATCATCATCATCATCATCATCATAATCATCATCATCATCATCAGCATCATCATCATCATCATCATCAGCATCATCATCATCATCATCATCATCATCATCATCATCATCATCATCAGTATCATCATCATCATCATCATCATCATCATCATCCATCATCATCTCCATCCCTCCTCCTCCTCCTCCTCCTCCTCCTCCTCCTCCCCCTCCTCCCCCTGCTGCGCCTCCTCATCCTCCTCCTCCTCCTCCTCTTCTTCTTCCTCTTCTTCCTCCTCCTCCTCCTTCTCCTCATCCTCCTCCTCCTCCTCCTCCTGCTCCTGCCCCTTCCTCTGCCCCTGCCCTGCCCGTGCCCCTGTTCCTGCTCCTGTTCCTGCTCCTGCTCCTGCTCCTGCTCCTGCTCGTGCTCCTGTTCCTGCTCCTGCTCCTGCTCGTGCTCCTGCTCCTCTTGTTCCTGCTCCTCCTGCTCCTGCTCCTCCTGTTCCTGCTCATCCTGCTCATCCTCCTCCTCTTCTTCCTCCTCCTCCTCCCCTCCTCCTCCTCCTCCTCCCCTCCTCCTCCTCCTCCTGCTCCTGCTCCTGCCCCTGCCCCTGCCCTGCCCCTGCCCCTCTTCCTGCTCCTGTTCCTGCTCCTGTTCCTGCTCCTGCTCCTGCTCCTGCTCCTGCTCCTGCTCCTGCTCCTCCTGTTCCTGCTCCTCCTGCTCCTGTTCCTCCTGTTCCTGCTCCTCCTGCTCCTCCTCCTCCTCTTCCTCCTCCTCCTCCTCCTGTTCCTGTTCCTGTTCTTCCTCCTCCTCCTCCTCCTCCTCCTCCTCCTCCTCCTCCTCCTCCTCCTCCTCCTCCCTCCTTTTCTTAGTATTATCCGTTTTAGTAGTAGCAGTAGTAGTAGTAGTAGTAGTAGTCGTAGTAGTAGTAGTAGTAGTAGTAGTAGTAGTCGTAGTAGTCGTAGTCGTAGTCGTAGTAGTAGTAGTAGTAGTAGTAGTCGTAGTAGTAGTCGTAGTAGTAGTAGTAGTAGTAGTAGCATTGGTATTATCATTCGTGATATTATGATTATTATTAATCTTCTTCGTGCTAGTAGTTTTTAGTATTCTTCTGATTGTTAATATTATTATTCGTTATATTAGTCTTAGTAATAATAGTATTATGCTTGTTAGTGATATTATTCGACTTCATAGTAGTAGAAGTCTTATGATTAGTACTATTCGTAGTATTAGGATTCTTAGTATTCATATTATTGTTAATACTACTGTTCGTTGTGATAGTCTTCTGATTCGTCTTATTAGTCTTATTATTATTATTATTCATATTATTAGTATTTGCATTTTTCTTATGATTAGTAGTAGTATTAGTATTATGCTTATTATGTCTATTCGTACTATTCTTAAAATTTGTTTTAGTATTCGTCTTCTTCTTCATATTATTATTATTCGTATTCGCCCCCTTATTCTGTCGTATTAGTATTCATAGTGTAAGTATATTTCGTTTTCTTATTCCTCTCATTCGTATTATTACTCTTCTTCTTAATTGTCTTATTACTGATAGTAGTATCATTATTACCATTATTAGTATTATTCTTACGACTCTTCTTCTTAATCGGAGGTGAGGGGGTGAGATCGAAGTGGAACGGAGAGCCCCCCTACCGGGAAATCGATTTCGGTTTCGTGTTCGTGCGCACCGTGCGTGCGGGCGAGGCGAAGCTGCGTGGGCGGGCGAGAGAAAGTCCCCTGTGGCTGAGGCGCGGCCGGACCAAATGATTCTCCGCCGGGCGGCCGGTGGCGCGCGGTGTCCCGCCGGTGTCCCGCTGGTGTCCCGTCGGTGTCCCTGTGGCTGGGGCGCGGCCGGACCAAATGTGTCTCTTCCGGGCGGCCGGTGGCGCGCGGTGTCCCGCCGGTGTCCCGCTGGTGTCCCGTCGGTGTCCCGTCGGTGTCCCGAGGATGATGTGGATGACTATGATGATGATGATGATGATGGTGATGATGATGATGGTGATGATGGCGATGATGATGATGATGATGATGATGATGATGATGATGATGATGATGTTGGTGTTGTTGTTGCTGATGCTGATGCTGACGTCGATTGTGAGATCGATTGTGACATCGATACTGAAACCGAATGTGAGATCGATTGTGAGATCGATAGTGAGATCGATTGTGAGATCGATAGTCAGATCGATTGCGAGATGATGATGGTGATGATGGTGATGATGGTAATGATGGTGATGATGGTGATGATGGTGATGATGATGATGACGATGATGATGATGGCGTCGGTTGTGAGATCAATTGGGAGTTCGATTGTGATATCGATAGTGAAATCGACTGTGAGATCGATAATGAGATCGATTGTTAGATCGATAGTGAGACCGAATGTGAAACCTAATGTGAGATCGATAGTGAGATCGACTGTGAGATCGATAATGAGATCGATAGTGAAATCGAATGTGAGACCGAATGTGAGATCGACTGCGAGATCGATTGGGACATCGATTGTGAGATCGACAGTGAGACCGAATGTGAGACCGAATGTGAGATCGATTGTGAGATCGATTGTGAGACCGATAGTGAGATCGATAGCGAGATCGATAGTGATATCGATAATGAGATCGAATGTGAGATCGATAGCGAGATCGGTTGAGTGAGACGTTGGTTCCCCCTCCCCCCTCACCTCCTTATCACCCGCAGGGTGGTCGTATAGGTATTAGTATCATTATTCTTCGTATTAGTATCACCATGATTATGATTATTCGTAGTATTCGTCTTCTT